TAATGGATCCCGATAGGATTACACTTCCCCTGCCAGGAGTGGTTCCTTTGGCTGTGTTCAGCCCAGGCTAATTTAACGTAATTAGCACATTCTCATCACAGCAGGAGACTGGAGATTTTCCCACCTCTGAAGCCTGAGCATTCCTTCTCTGAGAGAAATGTGGGTCCAGATTTGGCCATGGCATGGCCCTGACCCAGGTCAGGGTGTCCAGACCATGCTGGGGAGCTCTGAGTGCTGCTCTGCTCCTCCCTGAATCATAAAATCACTTGGACTAGAAAAGACCTCCAAGTTCCTCGAGTCCTGAGAGGTTTCTGTGAAGCTGGGGCAGCAGAGGTGCCTCTCAGAGATGTCCCAGAACAGGGACAAGGAAGTCTTTGTGTCCCTGTCCCAGTGGTCTGCAATACCTGATTGATCTTTAAAAAATCCCTGAAGAGCCCCACCCTGAGGGTGAGCAGCGGGAATTAAACTCCTCTGCTCTGCTTTGAAGTCTCACACCCACACACTGGTATGGGAGCTAAAAGTTAAGGACTATTTAGTGTGTGAAATATTTCTTCTGATGTTGAGGAACGGGGAAGTGATGAAGGTTCCTGTCTTGTGTAAGAGCATTTCTTCTGTTGTCATTTGTTCTTTGTTGGTTTTCTTTTTTTCCCCAATGAAAACTTTTATTAGTTCATAAAGAAGGTGAGTACTCAGTGGTGTTTTCATTAAAGCTGCAGGTCCTGAAGCAATACAATCATGGGAGAATTTAATTTTTCAGTGTTTTTGTTTAGTTGGTTTTTTTCCCAAACTAAACTTCTGTTCCTTGTAGTTCTGGAGAACCAGGACTGAGCTATCTTTGTTTTCAATTTTAAGGGCAACAAAGATCTCCCTGTTTGTTACTTTGAAGCCAACCAAATTATTTTGGGTTGCATTTGATTGCTTGGGGTTAGCAGCCTCTATTTTCTGTGGAAAGAAGCAATATATTGTTCAAACATCCAAATTTTTTTCTGGAACAAAATGAAGGACACTCAATGACAGGAGAGCTCCAGCTCAGATTTGTAACTGGGTAATTGCTGAATAACATGTTCGTTTTCTGCCACTAGATGGAAATAAATCTTCCCAGTTTCCTCAGGCTCTGAGAACCCTGCTGAGCTCCCAGCCTGGGAGTGGAGGATGCTCCAGGGTGCAATGTTCTTCCCTGGTGCACAGCAACCTCCAGGCTGGCTTTAGTGGCTGCAGGACATTCCCTGGCTGCTGTGGATGAAGGAGCTCCATGCAGGCTACCCCACAATTGCTGTTCCAGGTGGAGGGGTTGATGCCTCGGGTGCTTGCTGTGGCACTGACACCAAGGAGTTAAGCACTAATAGCTCCGGGAGTGGCCTGTGACCTTTGCTGTGGATAGAAACAACTTTTCCCAAAGCAGCAGGGCGGGCCTGGCTCCCAAATAATGCTGGGTGCTGTGCTGCCAGCCCAGCTGTCCGGGCTCCAGCCCAGGTGAACACACCTTGCTGGGGACAAGCACTTACCCCCAGGGAAACGCTCTCTGGCACGGACAGCACCGTGCCAGCTGGCCTGGGCAAGGCCAGAGGAAACACAGGCCCTGCAAATCAGGGATTTTATTGTGTTGATCTTGGAAGTGAAATCCTTTTAAAAAAATTTTTAGGGTTTTTTTGCTTTAGCTAAATTAAATTTGGTGTGTGGGGTGAGCAGCGCTGGCTGGCTGCCAGCTGCATCAGATGTGCCAGCTCAGAGCAGAAAAAATCTGAATCTGTCTCTTGCCAGACTCTGCTCCCCTGCACAGGAGATTTCTTCAGCTCTCTGCTTGAAATGCAGAGCCTGAATTGCCAGAGAGAGGACAACATTTAGGCAAAGGACTAAGGCAAACTTTCCAGCCAGTGACAAGGACAGCTGTACAGCTCCCAGTGTCCTCTGTGCTCACTCCTGGAAAGATTTACAAACATTTTTTTTAATCTTTTTACAACCTTTCGAAACAAACTCATCTGATTTCTTCCTGTCTTTTCCTCAGCCCTGCCAGGGAAAAAAGAAGGAAACAAAAAAAAAAATCAAAGGGTGCTGAACCTTCTATTTGATGTAATAAAGTTGGGTGGTGAAAACAAAGTTATTTGCCTGTACCCAGAGGTGCCTCGATCTTTTCTGAACACTAAATGAGTCAAACTACTTCCTAATCTATTGAAACAGAAAATTCAGACACTGCAGTTCCTCTGGAGGGGAGAAGGTGAAGGGACTCTGCACATTCATTGTAGATTGGACTCTTGAAGCCATGCTGTGGAAAGCATCTTTCATCTGTAGACCCAGCTGATAACTAATTCAATCTAATTAATCTCTGCAAGGATGGGGAGTGAAGGAGACATATTTAGGGATTGTTTTTCCCAACCCTGAAATTCTGTCACCTCCAGGATGGAGTTAACAGAGCTTGCTGGGTATGTTCCCTATATTCCCTTCAAAAAAGGGAACAGGATGCTTTGGGGGAAAGCTGTCAGATCTGCAAAGGGCACTGCTGAGGTTAAATAAGAGCTCGGTGCTGTGAGCACAGGCTTTGGTTTAACATCCTGAATTGGTGAGATGTTCTTCCCACTAAATGTCAGTGTAAAAAACCCTGGGGGTCGTGACATTCAGAGTGTTGAGCTGATGGAGAGCAAAAGTTCTTCCAGGTTTGGATTCTTTCTCTGGTGTGGACCAGTAGCAGAAATCAGGGAAAGTCGAGAAGAAATTGTGAGTGAACTCTCCACTAATGTATTCTTGCAGCTTCCATCACTGAAAACAGAAGTAATCATCTGGTTTTCCCTGTTCAATGCCAAGACCTGTCCTGCATGAATTTACTTAATTCCTTTTTTTAAATTAATTTAGATTTTGAGGCTTCTCATCCAGTACTGATAATTTGCACAGTTTATGCAGCTGAAGGGGGAAAACCCTCCTCTCAAGGAGTTTGTCTGAAGGCTGCTGATTTATTTCATGGGCTTGGCCCTTGTCCTTGTTGTGGAAACAGCCACTCCAGTCACCTCCTCTGTGACAGCTGTGAGTTTACAGTGGTGCTCTGTCCTCAGGAGAAGTTGGAGTCCATCTCCCTGCCTGTCATCCTCACAGGCAGCTTTCCAAGCACAGCTCCATCCTCAGCAGCCCTGGACATCCCTGGCTGCTGTGCCCTCCCTCTGCTCCCTTGACTGTTTCCCAGGCTCAAGCTAGGGAGATAATATATTTTTAGTAGCTTCTCTTCCTTTTTTGTGTGTCTTAAGTAGAAACATTAGTGTCTAATTTAAAGGGCACATTTTACAAGGTTATTTATGGGAGAAATAAGTTTTTTTCCTCCTGTGTTTTTCACGGAAGAAGCTGGCAAGAGCTAAAATCCTTTACCTTGTTACTGTAAAACACTCTCAGGGTTGGAGCTGAGTATTTTTATTTTTTATTTTTTTAAGGAAGATAGTTATTATCCAGTGATTGAAGATAGTCATTATCCAGTGATTGAAGATAGTTATTACCCAATGATTAAAACAGCAGCAGTTTCTCCATAGCTGCAGCAGCACGGTGAGCAGTGGGATGGGCGGATTTGGAGGGCTCATGCTGGGAATGAAGGATGCTGCAGCAGGGCAGGGACAAGCCCAGCCTGCCCTGGGAGCACCTCAAAGGCTCTTTAGCTGAGCGTGGCACGGACAGCCTGGATGGGAGCAGGGCTCCAGGAGCCGTCCCGAGCGTGGCCTGGGGCTGAGCATGGCTGGGGCACAAGGGGAGCCTGTTCTGCCTTTCTGGCCCGGCTCAAACAGAGGACACGGGACAGAGCAGCTCCAGGAGAGCCCAGACAGAGCCAGCCTTGTTGGCACAGCCCATCCTGCTGCTCCCCAGCTGTTTGCCTTGGATGGGAGCACTGGCAGCGAGGTTTGTCCAGCCCCACGTTTGTTGCCTCTGCTGCTCCTCCACCAGCAGAGAGCCAGAGAAACCCAGCGTGCCTCCAGCTCCAGTGGTGCCTTTAGCCTGTGTCTCCTGTTCCTTCTGGCCCTGGCCCCTCCATGCTGTGTATCCTGAATCCCCAACCCAGGTTGGATTTAGCAGCATTTATGGGATGGGGGAAATGTCAGCCTGGAAGTTTGTGCTGAGACAACGGCAAATTCACTGCCTGCTGATGAATTACTGCTATACAGGAGCTAATTAAAGAGAGTATTTCGTTTATTAGACTTTAAATTGAAGGAGAGCCTTCTCAGCTGATAGAATTTCTTTCCCTGCCCTCACACCTGAAGATTCTCCACTCCCTTTTGGTAAGATTTGTGTTTCTGAGGTTTGGTCCTCTGTGCCAGGCAATATTTTTCACTCCTGACTTCACTAATGGAAGTATGATTGCACAGGAATCTGGCACTAGTGATGGATGTCATTAGCCCCCTCCACATCCCAGTTCCTCTGCCTTTTTCTTTGCTGGTCACCATCACTTTCAGGTCAGCTCTGGCCTTGCAGCAAGTTCCTCAAATAACGGGAATGATGAGCGGTAGCTGAGGCAGGTGCCAGCGCCTGGAGGCAGATTTTAGAGGTGGTATCAGTGTCAGCTTGGCACCAGCAGAGCTCCAGACTCACCAGTGCCAGATCCTGCTTTTCACAGCCTGTGCTTCTCCACCCGACCTCTTGGGCGGCTGCTGCACAGAGGGAGGGCTCAAGCTGCTCTGATCCCCCTTTTAGCGCTGGCCACGGTGTGGGATGCATCCCAACCTGTGGAAAGGCAGAGGGAGGAAGATGGGAACAAGGCACACGGCTTGCGTTGGGGAATGGCACATCTTGAACCCCTGAGGAAAGTTTCAGCGTGAGGAAGGAACTGCTTTGCCCATCCTGCGGCTCATCCTCCGGGCCGTGTGTGCCCGCAGAGGGGGCAGAGGGGACAGAGGGGACAGAGGGGACAGAGGGGATAGAGGGGACAGAGCCTGCTGCGAGCATCCCGGCGCTGTCCCGGCTCGCAGGCGGAGGCAGAGGGCGAGCAGCGGGCTCGGATTGCAGCAGGCTCCTCCTCCGGAGCCTGCGGGAGGGCAGGAGAGGCGTGGAGCCGGAGCCAGCAGCTCCGGGCTGCCTCACCTGGCCCGGGCCGGCGGCGGGACCAGCATCTTCCCCAGCCGCATCCCATGGGAGCATCGCCAGGCATGGACAGCCTGAGCAGCAGCCTGAAGAAGAAAGCCACGGAGCAGCACTACAGGGCTGAGGTGATGATTGCTGGAGAGCAGCTGAGGTAGGAGGTCCCGGGCCCTCCTGCAGCCCGGGGCTGGGCTGTGTCCGGGGCTCTGGGCTGCATCCCGTCAGCGGCAGGCTCAAAGCTTTATCCTTGAGCAAGCTCTTTCCCCCGGGTGCTCTCCAGTACCTGCTGATCCTTCCTTCACCCACCAAAGAGTGCTGAACCAGGTCCCTTTCTGTTATACCTTGTCCTGCTGCTCCTCTCTGGAGTTTCCCACCTTTCACCCCCAGGTACCAGGGGACTGGTGGGTGACTGTAGGTGGCAACAGATTTTTTTTCCCTTTCCACCTTCCCCGAATCACGGAGAGTGATGTGGTGGCACTGAGCAGCACCCACAAGGTCCCTGATCCCCTGCTGGATGAGAGCTGCAGCATTTCTGGGGATGCTCAGATTTTTGGGGTGATTGGAAGGGCATTCCATGGATGCTGTGTGCCTGAACTGGAGCTTCCCTTTCCTGAAAGTCTCATTTGGGAACTTCTGCTGGTTTGTAGTCCCAGTTCTTCAGCAGCTTCTGAGGGTTTTCTTCCTCTGAAGAGAAAAATCCATTCTCCTATGCAATGTATGGCTGAGAAATGTGTTCCTTGTGTATCTGGGGTCAGAACCCCATCCTTGCTTCCATGCATCTGACTGTGGGGTTTTTTTTAGCTCTTGAGCAGTTTGATTGTTTGTATCTGGAGCCATTCTGGTTTGTTTTGAAATGTGGGTGGAAAATAGGAAATATATCCGTGATAATGTGGGGGGTGATGTGACTTCCCTGTACCTGTTGCAGGACAGGAGCAGGTCAGACCCTCGACCATTTGGGGACTGTAAGCACGAGAAGGGAATTCAGTAAATTTATTAGAGAACAGAACTCCTCCATTCATTGCACATTGGGATAAAGTTAATAAAAACTCCAAAATTTATGTAGTTTTGGGGACATCCATCATTTTTGTTTGTTTTTTTTTTCTTTTTTCCCCCCATAACTGCAGTGCCTTGAAGTTTCCTGGTTTAGGGAGCTCCCAAAATCTGAGAGTTCACAGTGAGGGAGAGGAGGGTCCTTCTGCTGGGGCTGGGCACACAGCAGTTGCATCCTTCTGCTTTGGTCTGGGCAGGAAGGATGGGAAGGAGCTGCTGGTGTAAAACCTGGGGAGGAGGATGAGGGGAAGGACACCAGCCTGGATGCTCCTTCCACTGAACCTCTGGCTGGAAGGAGAATGGAGTGAGGCAGAACACAGAGAGTTTGAATTTCTCTCTTGTGTTTTGGGATCTCACAGCCTGGCAGGTAAGGAGTTAAGTGGTATGGATCTTCCTGGCACCTGGATAGCCGGTGGAGAGCAATGGGGAAACTGAGGCAGAGAGGCTGGGTGATGTGTCAGACAGCAGCAAATGGACAGGGCTAAATGTCCAGCCCTGCTTTTCCCCAGATGTGGAGTACAGAGGCATGGAAAGGAGCCTTGCAGCTGCCCTGACTCAGTAAACCTCCATCAGCAAATAACGCTGCTGTATCCACATGAAACATCAAACATTTGTTTTTCTCTGCTCCCCGCTTCCTGCCCTGCCTCCCCACTATTACATTAAATCAAACAAACCTTTGCTCCATCTTTACAGTTCTTTGGCTTCCCAGCAAGCTTGCAAATGCCTCAGAGTTTGGTTTGGCCAGAGGGGTGAGTCTGTTCAGTGTCAGGATGTGTTTCCCAGCCAGGAATAGCTGCACAAGTGAGGGCTGGTGGAATGCTCCGAGTGGATGGCCGGGAATGAAGCGGAGCTGAAGGAATCGGAGGGAGATTGCCCAGTGTGGTTTGGGTTTGCCTGTCTGTCAGAGTCCCTCTGCTTCAACAGCTGCCTGGTCCAGGGAGGAGGAAAAAGAATTTTATATTTTGAGTTTCTCCTAGAATGACAAAAATAAAATTTTCACTGATGTTTTGGCCTTGAGTCTGACAGAGCTGCTGGCTCAGGCTCCTTCCTCATATCTGCTGTCATTCCTCTTGTGTCAGGCATACGAACTTGCATGAAAATCGTATCGGTTTTACTGGGCGCCGTGTATTCCTGGGTGGCATTCTGTAAGAGAGGCCAAATTAGTCACTTCTAATTGCAACAAATGGCTTATCTACACAGAGAGGCTCTGGAACAGCTTCCTCGCTTTGCATTCACACCCTGCTGTAATCGGAGTTCCTCAAGTATGGACAAGCCCTGGTGCACTCTCATCTGGGTATTCCCATGGTCAGGAGAAGCAGCTGTGCTCTAATAGCTCTGTAAAGCTGCATTAATCATTCCTAAACATAAAACATACTCAGTAAATTTATGTCTTGCACAGAAAAAGTGAGAGGAGAAGGAGGCTTTTTTTCCTACAAAGAATAAAATTGCAATTTCTGCCACTGTACAAAACTTGCAGAGCTGAGGAGTGTTTTATATGGAGACTAAAACTGCAATGCTGTTAAATAAAACACTTGTATCTTGATGCTCTGGAAACTGAGCTCACTAAAGGTGTGTGTGGCTGAATGTGCCAACATTTTTATTCCTGCCCAAAAGCCATTTGTCTGCAGGAGGTTTGGTGGTTCTCTGTTGGACTCGGGTCTCTTGTGGTGAGCATGACTTCCTTGAGGAATCATGGGGCACTGCTTGATCTAGCAGGGAACATTATTCAAAGATGAAACTTCATGGTCAGAATGACCTTAAAAAGCTAATTATTAAATTTCTAGCACTGGTGAAAGGGAGGACTGGGAAGTGGACTTGTGCTTATTGGGATTTTTTTTTTTGAGATTTTAGTCTTCCTATACTAATTTCCCAATGAAATTCCTATACTTTTATTTAAATACAGGGAAAATCAAAGGTATCTCAGTGCCACTTTGGGCAGTCAAAGCCCTCCCTTGTCCCCAGATGTACTGGTGCTTTTTCAGACAGGGGGTGATGCAAACTGGGGTTTGCTGAGTGTGTTTGCAGCAGCTCTTTTGCCTGAATGTGCCTCTCCAGCAGCAGCTGCTCTGCAGAAATGCTCCTGTGTCTGCTGCTGCCTTTTAGTGAGCACTCTGTTGTTTTGGTGGTGGTGGGGGGGGTTTATTTGTTTTCTGTATGTTTGTTCCTGTGAAGATAGGAACAGAAAAGATCTTTTGGCTGATGCATCTTCCAAGGCCACTCATTTGTACTTAGCTGCTGTGGGAATGTGGACTGGAATTAATCTCCTTGAAAGATCCACCTTGTCATTTGAGATGCTCAAGGTCTGTTTACATGGGAGGTGAGGGAGAGTTTATTCCTCATCTGTTTGGATGTCCCTTTCAACAAGGCTACCCAGGATGAATAATGATGGCTTTGTAGTGACCTTGACAAAGAAACAATTTGCTTACCCAACACAACCTACCCAAAGCAAACGCACGTGGAGGCTCTGCCTGCCAAGCCAGGAGTGTTTCATAAGAGCCCATTCTCATGTTCCAGCAAGTGTTTTATCCTGACCTTATTCAGCCTTTTTTGTTTTTTCTTTTTTTTTTTTCAATCCTTTTGAAGAAGTAATATGTCCACAGAGACATAGGGCCATCTAGAAAACTCATAATATTGCACATTATTATAGATTTCCTTAATTTTCTTTTTATCTGGAAGCATGATTAGAGCCCACTCATGGTTTCACCAACTTTGTTTTTGTAACAGCACACGAGAGCTGTGACATCCTGTGGCTGAAGGACAAAGTTTGTCTCTTCAGGGTTGACAGGAAACAGTAAACAAGAGGAAAGTGAAAAGTCCACAAGGACACTTGAGCCAAGCCTCTTCCGCTGCCCTGAGTCTGCAGGACAGAGGGAAAATTTGTCACAGGCTGAACAGAGCCCTTAAAAGTCCAAGATGCTGCTCCAGAGGTGCTGAAATCCCACTTAATTCCTGTCCTGGAAATTGCTCCCAGTCGAATATTTTCAGAATAAGTGTAGTTCTTAATTTTTAAATCATAGGCCTCAGCAGCATTGCTTCATCATTTTTTTATTATTATTTTTTAAATTTTATTTTTAATTTTATTTATCTCCTTCAAAAATCTGTGCATTTTTTTCTGTATTCTGAAACATGATTAAATAAAGGGAATAAAATAGGGGAAATAGTGTTCTCTTAACCAGTTTCTATTCAGGCCTTGTGTGATAATGGTCCGTGTATTATTGTATATATAGGGGCTGTGTGTGAGTGTAAATATATATATATATTTATAGACTCCTGTAGACTCTTGATGGCAACAGAGCAATCTTGGAACATTTCTTATCTTTACCAAACATTCCTCTAGAGTGCCTTCCCACTTGGTGATGGTGAAGGAGAGAAAACATAAAAATTGGCTGTGTCTTCCTCCACAGGTGGGGAGCCTCTGCTTGCAGTCACTGCTGACTGTGTCTGGTTGCATTTTGACAGTGGACCATGAAATAAAGGAAGAAAAAAGACAAAAACTCTAAAAATAGCAGGGCAGCTGTCTGTGGAGTGTTCTTTCTGGGTAAAATCCATCTGCAGAAGGAGTGCTGGTCACATGTGGGAATCAGCCTCCAGGTAAAGAGTGAAATGCTGGATATGGACCTCAGGATTTGAGGGAGGTCTGTGCAAGGCAAGGCCAGGAGCTGGTTCTGCATGAATCTTTAGTATTTTAATTAGCAGGAAGGTCTGAAAACTTCTGTCAACTTCACAGCATAAATTACAAAAATCAATTACTAATTATTCCTCTAATAAAGTGTTCTATGGTAAAACTTTTTGGAAGTTAGTTATTTGTAAATCCTACAATATAGGATAATCCATTACTAGCTGATAGTTTTTTAGGGTATTTAAACTTCTTGTGAGGTACCTAAAAGTGTTGTCCAACAGGCATAACTTTCCCAAAAAGAACAAAAGAACTTGAGGCATGAAATAATGACAGGCTGCAGTGTTTAATGCCTTAGTAAAACTCACTGGCTGGGGGCAAAGCTGGGAATTGCAATGAATAATTTTAAATGAAAACCATCCTAGTTAGAGAGATGTTTAATTAACATCTCTCCTCAGAGCCTGCTGCACACACTGGGCACTTTTCAGCACTGGTGTTTTGGGAACAGTCATGGCTACAGGGCAAAAGTTTGGCCCCTGGACAGATCTCCTGCCAAACTGGGCTGGAGCACAGAGGAACTCTGTGCCTCTCTCAGTTGTTAATTACCTTTTGAAAGTCAAAGCTGTGCTCACCTGAGTAACCTTCCCCGAACGTCGGAGCTGCAGCGCAGCCGTGGCAGCGGGCTCTGGGGGTAGGAGGGTCATTGTTTGGGTAAACTCTGTCCAGTCAGTCCCAGCTGGAGCCAGAAAACGTCAGGGCTCTTGTGCACCCCTGCTGTGGTTGGTGGGTATGTGGATTAGGTAGTGCTGGCATCCACCTGGCACTCTTTGCTTGGGCAGAAGGAAGGAGGGCTCCTGTTACCGCTCCCACCTGGAGTTATGAGTAAGGCCCTGTCCTTTATTCCTGCTTTTGTGGCCGTGGGGAAGGAGAACCAGACACAGAATCGTGCCAAGATAACAAATACACTCACTGCTGTTTTTTTCAGGGTTTTGTTCCCTCTTCACCCCATTTGGTTGGCTGCTGTGTGTTTTAGAGGCTTGTTTAGAATGAAGAGACACGTGTGGGTCACACTACATCTGCTCAGGCAGCCTGAGTGGTGGCAGGAGGAGAGAAGGGGGCGGTGGAGGGGCTCCTTGGGATTGTCTGATTGGGACTGACTGATGCAGTCTGGCAATGCCCAGGGGTTTGGTTGAATTGATCAGTCCCTGCACATCCAGGGTGGTGTCTCCAGGCTGGGCAGATGTGGGCCATCACACCCAAACCCCCCTGAGATGCCAGCTGTGCTCAGTGGCTGCCTCTCCCGCCAGGCTCCGGCTGCACGACGGGAAGCTGATCAAGGACAGGAGGTACCACCTGCGGACCTACCCCAACTGCTTCGTGGCCAAGGAGCTCACGGACTGGCTCATCGACCACAAGGAAGCGCCCGACCGCGAGACCGGCATCCGCCTGATGCAGAAGCTGATGGATCACTACATCATCCACCACGGTGTGTGGGTGTCCTGCCACCCCCAGGGCAGGGCTGTGTGTCTGCTCAGCCCCTGTGGCCCTCAGCCCAGCAGGCAGGAGCGTGCCCAGGCCCCCGTGTGCTGCCCTGCCATGGGTGAGGGCTCCTGGAGAGGCTGCATGGGGCTGGATCTGTGTGAGGCTGTGCTGGTTTGGGGGATGTGCCAGATCCCTGCCCAGCAGAGAAGGGCCTTGGGCTGTGCACTGGTAAAATGATGTCTAAAGTGTCTCCTCTTTGAAAGCAAGCTCAGTAACACCTGGCCCTTATTCCTGTACCCAGGCAGGTGGATGTTTTTACGGCAGCTGGTCTGGCTCATGTCTATGTCACACAGAAATGGAAGCTGAATTACAGCATGTGCTTCACATCTGCAGGAAAATTCAATTTCTTACCATAAGACCCCAGTATTCCTTAGTTGTCCCATGATGGGACAAATAAGGCTGTGGAGTCCACATTACTCCAAGGAAAATTTAATCTGGCACTTGTGAACCTGGAGCTGGAGGAATCCTGCCTCCCGTGGGATTTAAGTGTGTGCTGCCATGTGTGGAACCTAATTAAAAAAAAATAATAAAAGGAAGGAAAAAGGAAGCATGAAGAAAAAGCAGCTTGATGCTCAAGCCCAGCTCTTAGCAGTATTCAGGGTTTTTTTCCTTTTTCAAATATCTTTGGAACTTTGAGGAGTTTTGAATTAGCTCAGGTCACATAGTGAGCTCTGTGCTGTAGAGCAAGGTCTAGCCCTTGGTCCCGACACAACAAGAGGAAACAAGCTGTGCTTCAGCTGGGCAAAAAGCAATTCCTGTCCATGTGGTTTTCAGGCCCAGCCAAAACCAAAAGGCCCAGACTGTCAAACAGCCCTGGGACACCTCTGCCATCGGTGGGAAGGGCGGTGGCTGAGCTTTCCTGCTCCCAGGGCTTTGGGACAGGAGCTGTGGCAGCCTGGAGCTGGTGCTGGTTTGTCACACGAGGATGTAGCTGAGGAGACAGCAGCAGATGATGACCACACCACACCAAACCCTCTCCTCCCCCCTGCTTCTCTGGGCTGCAGAAATAGCTGCCTTTGACCATGCAAACATTCCCTGTTGCCATCTGCTACTTGCTGAGGGTAATGCCCTTTACATTAAACTGCCTTGAATAAAAATAAACTGCTGCTGGGCTTTGTCACAAAAAGCTGAAGCAGAGAGTTCTCAGTTAACCATTAACACACCTGATTATTTTTCCATCTCTCCAGCTGACAGTTTCAAATAAATCCATTAGTTAATTAAACCTCTGCAGCACTGGGTACCAGCACTGTTTTGATTGCTTATTAGGACATGTCCTTCCTGCTCCTGTGACAATTCTTGGCAGGACATAGAAGTTGACTTTCCAACTTTCCTTGTGTCCATTAATTTTGTTAGTCCTGTGGAAAGAGGGATGTCAGCTAATGCAGCACAGCGCTGGGTGCTTGGCAATTGTCTGGCTGAACTGTTTGCCCTCTTCTCCCCTGGCATCCAGATAATTATCTCATGAAGATCATCGTGTTGCCTCTTAATTGTCTGGTGTGCTTTGAGCTTTGGTTCTGTTACACACTGGAAACACATTCAAATTGGTCTTTAAATAGGAAAACTGCTTTGGTTTTCTATGGGCACAGTCCTGTAGGATTTTTTTTTTTTTTTTGTTCTATTCCTGGTTGCAATGGCTTTGGAATTGTTGTTCCTTGGAATTATGAGGCTGCAAACTTTCACTGTTAAAACAACATTCTCATCCTGCCCTCGTGCTCGGTGAGTCACAGGCTTTGGAGTCCTGATTGCATCTGAGACAGCTGCTCTGCAGGAATGATGAGCCTGAGATAATCTGACAAGTTTTAGCATTTTGCTGCTCACCTGAAGGGGAATGTGGTTTTGCCAGTCTACTCAGATGGATGAAAAAGTGTTAAAATTTTCACAAGAAGTATCTTGAATCTTTCGAATTTCATTCTAGTGGATGATGTTACTTTAGTGAGGAAACATTTGTGGTTTTTCTTTTTCTCTTTGACTAATTTCCTTTGTTTTCCAGGCAAACTCTTTATTCTGTTTTTTTGTTGTTTGGGTTTGTTTCTTTTCACAACTTGAATTTCTTCTTCTGTCAGGTAGGTGGAGCTGAAGGCAGGCTGACTTTTAATAGCTGAACTATGATTTTTGGGCTGGGATTTTTTGTCTTTAATTAAAGTTTTTGAGAGTTTATTTGTACTTGTAGTTTAGGAGTCTGTTTCAGGCAGGTTTATCTCACAATTGTATCCCAAATATTTACCTGCTAAAGGTTACTTGAACTACAGAATTGTGCATTTACAGTCTGTGTGGCCATCCCCACGATCAATCTGAGGCTTTTCATACAGATTTAATTATTCCACTTGTATTGCACCTGGCTTTGAATTAAATTTTTTCTTGAGGTCAGTTTGCCATGCAAATGAATTGGGCAGAGTTGGCACAAAATGATGTGGAAAAGTTTGTGCCATTTTTTCATTTTTTGGCTTATGAGTATTTTTGACAGACAAGTGATTTTATGGGAGTTTGAGTGGAGTGTGGTTTTTTTCCCTCTGTCCTTTAACTCTGCTTACATGTGGCTGTATTTTATTTTTTAAAAGTTGATTGAGACAATTCTGTTCATCATCTTTTACTCTAAATCTAAACATGAACGATTAAATGAAAAAAAAAACCCACAAAAAAACTACCTGTTTATTCTAATGATTATTTTAATGTCTGGAACAAAATGCAGACCCCAAGTCCAGCTTTGCCAAGGTCTGTACTTTGGAATTGACCTTTCCCACCAGCATGAGCTTCAGGTATTCACGAGCAGGTAACTTCTGGGGACTGAGGATGCCGATTGTTCCACGGCACGAGGGGCACAGGGAAGGACGTGGCACGAAGCCCTCCCAGCTTTTAGGCTGGAGACAGCATCCTGCTGAGCCCTGAGTGTCCATCACAGACTGACATCCCTGCCCTGTGTTCCTCCAGTCTGTGATGAGCACTCGGATTACAAGGATGCCAAGCTGCTCTACCGCTTCCGCAAGGATGACGGGACCTTCCCCCTCAGCAAGGACGTGAAGGTGTTCATGCGAGGGCAGAGCCTCTATGAGAAGTACGTGAGTCCTCCCCTGGCACTGGGGCACTGGGACTGTGCTCTGCTGGCTGTGCTGGCTGCTGGTGCCCTGCAGCTGGGAGCCACAGCTCCTGCTGGCGCTGCTTTTCCTTCTCTGCATCCCTGCTGTCCCCCTGGGAAATGCTGCTTCCTGAGCCCTGCCACAGCTGCAGGACAACCAGGGTCCTTGGGGATGGGACAGGAGCTTTGCTATGAACTCGTGGATGCTTCCAAGGGCTCCAGCCCATGTGCAGGGTCTGGGATTTGGTACAGGGAAGGGCAGTTTGAGTGTTCCAGTGGCCGTTCCCAGCACTCTTCCACCAGCTGTATTAGGACTTGTGTCCCACCAAAGTCAGCAAGGTATGGGACTTTCAGGACCTTCATGGGCCTGGGTGCCTGCCCCTTGCTCAGCCTGTTTGCAAAATTCCTAATAGGAAAGGTTGTTCCCAGAGAGTAGAGAAAACTCCTTCCACCTCCAAGTGTTTAGTTTTCTTTGTGTTGATTGTTCTGGTTCTAAATCCAAGCCATCTCTCCAGAGTTTAACCCCACCCCACTCTCTGGACCTGTTTCCTTTAACAGCTCCCTCACATCTTCACATCCTCCCACTCCGGCAAGGAGGGTCACAAACTGGTCCTGAAGGAGAGTCCTCCATCAGGGCGGGTGGTGATTTTGGGTGTGTCCCTGCCCTTCTGCCAGATGTGCATCCCTTGTACTGTGCTCTTGATCCTCAGCAGTGGCCGTGGGTTGGGCAGAGCATCCCGGCAGTGATGGCTGAGCCGGCTGCACCCTCTCGTGGAGACACTGCATTTAGCTCTCACAGGCTGCCTGTGGAGCACCTGCAGACCGAAACCCACCCTGTCCTTGCATTTGGACTGTCTGCCATGTGCTACCCACGCTCAGCCGCTTGCTTGGCTTTCCCTGTGATCTTTAGCTGAGCTCACAGCCCAACTGGTTTTGCTGGAGCTTCTGCCTCGCTGTGATGAAGATTTCCAAAGGTGCCCGACTGCAGCTCCGTGTTTCTCCCTCCCTTCCCGCTGCTCCCCGGCAGGAATGCTCTGGCTGCGATGCTTTGCCCGCTTCCCTCGGCCTCGCTTCAGCCGGCTGCAGCTGCCGGGGGGATTGGCAGGGATGGATGTTCGGCATCACTGGAGCCTTGTCCCACCTCTGTGCCAGGCTGGTGAGCGTGGAAGAGTCAATCCTGAAGATGAGGGAGGAGAACTCGGTGAAGTACCAGAGGACTTTCCTGGGCTCTGAGATGATCGACTGGCTCATTCAGGAGGGAGAAGTGGAGAACAGGCAGGAGGCAGTGGAGCTGGGACGGGCACTGCTGGAGCACGGCATCATTCAGCATGGTGAGTTGGGCTGGAAAGCGAGGGGTGAGCGAGGAACAAATCCCCATTCATGCTGGGCAACAAGTGCTGGTCAAGTGCCCACTTGGAGATGGCAATGGAGCCTTTTAGTTCTATGTTTGGAGCTGGTGACCTTTGAAACTGGAGCAATCTTTTACCATCCACAAAGGCTTCGAGATGAAATCTGAGCTCTTGCTCTTCAGTTCTTCAAAGCCACCGGCCACAGGGCTGGGCTGCACCCCTGGGTTTGGAGGGCTGGGGCGTGAGGATGTAATGTTTAGCTCCTCTTGGCTGGAGATCACATCCATCTGCTATAATTAAACTTCCAATTCAGAAGGCAGGGAGTCCTCTGAGTGTCCTGGGACAGGGGCAGGTGGAGGGCTGTGACACTGAGTGCACCCCTGGGGGATGGCAGCTCTTGGGGGGTGGCCCTGCTGTTCCTCCCTCCCTGCAGACAGCATTCCCAAAGAGGCAGAAAAGCTGCAGTAGAGCACAGGGGCATTAGAAGCAATTCATGAGGGTCCCTCAGGATATTTGTTATATATTTTTCCACCCCCTCAGCCTCTCCCTCCTCCCCTGTTCTCTCCTAGTCTCCAATCGGCATCACTTCTTTGACAGTGACATCCTCTATCACTTCTGGATCAACTTTCGGCGGCGGCGGCGTCTGACGGAGTTACTCAATGAGAACTCTTCCCGTGCCCTCTCCGAGAGCCCTGACAGCCCCTTCTGCCTTCGCAAGCTCAACCCAGACCCGGGCAACACCAGCTTCCTCTCTGGTAACTGTGGATGTGAAAGCAAGCTTACACTGCCAGAGGACCCCCGGAATGAGGGTGTTGCTCCAGCAGAGTTTAAGGGGTTCCTCTGGGCGTCCCATGAAGTGAACACCCATCCCACTGGTTTGTGGTGGATGTCACAATGAAGTGGCAGTCTCTAGCACAGACCCCTGTCCCAGGAAAATAACTCAGCTTAGCTCAGATCAGCTCTTGATCTTTCTTTGAAGATGGTTTTACTCTTTCTAAGCTCACATACCTTCTTCAATGCACACATACCTTTCAAGTCAGACTTGGGGGGAAGTTTGTTATTTTAAGCTACTCTGTTTTTTCATAGAAAAAAATGTTATGTGCTTTTTTCAGTCCAGACCAACAAGGAGATCAAAGTTGTCTCAGCAGTTCGAAGGAGCAGCATCACTTCCCTCTCTGGAAACTCCAACGCCTACTTCAGCGCTCCTCCTACGCTGGTATTCCCCCCCGTGGCTGAGTGCAACCCCAAATCAGGTCTGAGCTTCTGCATTGCCTGTTGCTATGTGGGAGACACCTACTCCTTCAGGGCATGGGCTCAAGCCCAGGTCCAAGCCCACCAAACCCATCAGCCTCACCTCTGCATCTTGATTTGAAAATGTTTGGAAAATCACTGAGATGAACACAGAGGTTTCTGTGTGCAGGAACTGTGGTTCTAACATCTGTTTTCCAGCCTAGGGTAATCCCCAGGCTGCCTTGTTATGCACTTTAGTGTACAAACCCCTTGATTCTGATAGAATCTGTCACCTTCTGCTCTAGTGTTAAAGAGACCTGTCACCAACGAAGAGCTCCTGTCCCCTGGGGCCCCCTATGTCAAGAAAACGCTGACTGTGAGTGACCATTGGGAATGGCATTGCTAATCCAGCAGTATCCAGCTCCCTGCTGCTCTTGGGTGGTTTTCTGTTGGCTGCTCTGACCTCTCTATGCTAAAACTTTGACTGTGTGTCACATCATCGTGGCTTTTTGGTGGTGACTCTCTAGGGGTCAATGTCTTCACACATTCTTGTGGGTGGAAATGTGCTCAGCCCCTCTGAGAACTTAATATATATCCATGAGGTAGATCAGGAAAAAAAAAAACAAAACATTTGGCTAGAAAAAAATCTCCTATTTTGGAGTTTTTTGCCATTGGTCAGGTTGGCACAGGTTGCCCAGAGCAGCTGTGGCTGTCCCTGGATCCTTGGAAGTGTCCAAGGCCAGGTTGGACAGGGCTTGGAGCAACCTGGGATAGTGGAAGGTCCCTGCTCATGGCAGGGGGGTGGAATGAGATGATCTTTAAGGTGCTTTCTAATCCAATCCATTCTAATATTCTGTGATTTTTGTTCCACCCCGCTGCATGCAAATTGTAGTACCAGTAAGTCTTGTGACACTTGGGGCTGTGACACTCACCCTCTGTCACACTTATGCACAGCTTTGTGCATCTTTCAGGTCCCTCTGCAGGTCAGGGGTGTTGATATGATCCATCAGCATCTCGTGGAGCTGCACTGAATGAGGGAACATCCAAGGGCCAGTACTGCCTTCCTTGTGATGGGCTTTTTACATGGACACACCTCCAGGACGCTGCAGACAATCTGAGTTTGGGGCTTTTGCTTTTTAAATTACTTCTAAAGCTATAAGAATTTGACTGGTCAAGTCAGGGCTGGTCGGTGCTGGGTGGAAATGTTACCAGACAGCTGTAGGACCCTGTGGATCCTATTGCACTTGGTTATTTTTGTGTCCCATCCCTTCAATGCCCACCTCTGAAAGGGCCAATCTCACAGAAAGCAGTGTAGGAAGAGTGAGGGCTGCCTTGCCATGCTGGTTTGGCACCAGGAAATCATGTGGATGACATTCCCAAATTAAGTGTGCTGTAGAAAATGGTGGGAAGGAGCAAAAAAAAATCAAGCTGGTGATTAGCATGGCACATCTGAGGACGTGCTGCTCATTCTCCTCCTGAACGCCCTTGCCCTGCCCTTCAACTCTGCCAGCCTGGGCCTTTCATGGCTCATTTCCTCCTGCTTAGCTCTGCAGTTGCTGTTATTTATTTATATGGGTGATGTGCAAAGCCCCTTGGGAATTCCTTTTCTCCTTTGGTCACTTCAGAGGGCCGCAGTATCCGAGCAAACTGCTCTGGCAGGCTGACATCAGCGTGGGGCAAGGCAAGAGCAGCCCCTTCCAGCCAGGAAATGCTCTGCTGTGCCAAGGAAAAGTGTGCGTGCTCTGGGGGTGTTCTCAAGCTTGCTCGTGGTGCATGCCTTGCCCTTCAGCTTAATGCCGCCTGTGATTCTCCTTCCTGCACAGGCTGACAGGGAATTAATCATAAAACAGTTTTGCAATTAATCAGGGAGTAATTAATCAGTTCTGCTTCTCACTTGGTGCATGGCCCTTTCTCTCCCGCCCATAACGGGTTTGGATCATGAGCTCTCTGTCTCTCTGGGAACTGTGGCATCCCCTCTCTCCAGCCCATTCCTTGGTTTTTAAGCCCCTTTTGTTGTGCTTGCAGATTGTGGGGGATGCAGTGGGCTGGGGGTTTGTGGTTCGAGGAGGAAGACCTTGCCACATCCAGGCAGTGGACCCAGGAGGACCTGCTGCAGCTGCGGGGATGAAGGTACTTATTACTCATGGAGGATAAACAGGAGATGGGATTTGTGTCCTGTTGGATCTTTTTGAGCTGAACACTTCTTCCATGATATTCCCACCTCCTGCTCTGGGGATCAGACTGCTGGCATGGGCACGTGGAGCTCGGGAGAGGTGGAGGGAGGGATGCTCTCTGCAGGCAGAGTGCCCCGTGTGTGATGGCAGAGTGGAGGATTTGCCTTTTCCAAGGCAGCACAGGAGCCGTGGTCAGCTAAAACTCAAACTCAAAAACCTCTGCCATCCCTGTGCCAGACCTTGGAACTGTCAAAACTGTTTGAGCTGCTAAAAACAAAGCAGAGAATTCCCAGCTCCGTTCAAGTGACTTTCTATAACCTCAGGGAAGCAAGGAAGGGGAAGAGCTTTGTCCTGAATCACTTCTCTCAGTTCCTGGAATGCTCAGTTCCTGAGCATTTTGTTTCCATGCTATTAGCAATGGACTTCTGCATGGAGCTGTTTTCCATGTACACAAAAACTGTAATAATATTAAATTGATGCCTTGATCTGATTTATCAAGTAATTTCCAGTATTTCCAGCTCAAGAGAAATGAACTTAGAGCTTGCAACTCAGTTTAGGCCCAGGCATGCGAGTTTGGTGTGAAGTCTTAGCCATGAATGAAAGAAGTGCTGAGTTTCCCAGTTCCCTACAGGAACTCCAGCAGCAAGGGAGTAATTTCTAAAAGCTGATATAAGTCTAAAGTCACATGAATATTTGAAATAATGGGATTGTTCAGAGGCAGAGTGTGACTCCTTGTTTGCTTCAGGCAGGATTGGAAGGGGATGGATGAATTTGTTTCATTTACTCAAGAGCCCAGTTAATTTCTCCTTACCTAATCTCATTTGCTACCAAATTGCTGGATGTTAATATTGTGCTTCATTTCCATCTGTGAAATGAGCCACTGCTCATAAATGAGTCTTTTTTTACTCTGTTAGCTCACAGCCTAAATCCCTTTGGTCCCATTTTTATGACACAGTGATTGCAGCACTTTGTGATTATTGGTGTAGCTAAGGGGTGGTGATGCTTGAGGGTTTCCAGGATTTTGACACAAGTTATTTGCATCACAGCCCCTGGTTCCAGTTAGTCCTGGGCAGGAGGTGCTGTGAGACTGAGGGTAACCTGTCCCTCCTCTCTTGCAGGTGTGCCAGTTTGTTTTCTCAGTGAATGGGGTCTACGTTCTGCATCTGGACTATCAGACCATCAGCAGCCTCATCATGACAGGACCACGGACTCTGGTGATGGAAGTGATGGAAGCCATTGAATGAGCCAAGGAGCCTCATCCCACTGCTGCTGGAAAAGGCAGGACTGTCCACTTGGCAGGGATGGACTGTGGGGAGGGACCAAGCTCGACCGCTCACTGTGATGTGTTAACCAGGCATTTTGATGTATTTTCAAATAAATACATTCTGATGGAAAAATCTTGGATTTTTCTGCTCTTGAAATATTTGTCTCTGCCTGCTCTTAGGGTGTCTAAGCTCTTGCAGCTCCTTTTTAGTGCCAGTGTGAGAACTCAGCACTTAATGAACCCCACCTTAGAGCAGCCCTTCACCAGCCAAGCTGTGAGGCAGGTGGCAAAGCTGGTAAGCAGCAAGGAGTTTATACCAAGTGGGTCTGTCTGAGCTGCCCTGAGCTGTCTGGGCACTCTTCTGAGAACACAATGTGCTCTCCAGATGGCCCCATAAGCTGTGCCACCAGCTCTGTCAAGAAAATAAGGAAATTAATACAGGAATGTGTGTTCCCTGTAAAGTCTAAGGCTCCTGCTACTCTCCTGGCATAGCCAGGCTCACAGCCAGGGCTGGCTGCTGTTCCCAGCTGTTTCTTGAAAAGGTGACACTACCATGATTGTGCTTTTAGTGCTCCCACCCTTTAATAAGGCTTAATTTCATTAATCAGCTTTACCTCAGCAAGGAGGCAGGCAAAGATCCCAAACACCATAGGCTGCTACCAGCCTAATGGGGGGTGGTGGTAAAGGAGGGACCAAAACCAGACAGTGCCCAAAAGGGAATTCATCCTAGTCTGATTCTGGCTCTGGGAAGGCACAAAAATGACTGAAAGCCACCAAAATCCAGCCCTCTGTCCCCTGCTGCTTTCAGGACAGCTATATCTGCAGCCAGTGCAAAATATGCCTTGCAAAGTACCCTGAAAGTGAAGTAAATATAGAAAAACAGGTGATAACAAGATTTTAGGGAGGTTTCCTTCTTTCCAGTTCACAGAGCATCCTGTTTGTGATTAGCCTGCCGTGCTGTGCATAGACAGGATGATTGCCAGCACTCCTGCTTAGGGCAGGGTCCTCAGGGCAGCTCCTCTGGCCACAAACCAAGCCTTAAAAAAAAAAAACCAAAAGTCCAAAAGTAGTAATTTTGGTTTGTGTTAAAATGGGCTTGACTTTTTGGGGGAATCTGATGTCAGGTGTGTATCAGGTGTTGCTGTACTGCTGGCTGCCTTTTTTCCCCCTTGGTAAAAAGGGAGATCTGCTCCCCCCAGTGCTGGTGCTGAGGTAATGGAGCACAGAATTCCTGGAACAGATCCTAGGCAAGATGTTTGCATTGATAATTGGGGTCCTTCCAGCCCCTAAGTGGAACCAGACCATCTCCTCAGCTGTTTGTCAATAAACTCACAGTGGTTATTTGCAGCATTCAGTGCACGAGTTCAGCAAACTCCATCTGCCTTTCTGTTTTTCAAATTCTCTTTAGGGAGAGTTTGGGTGTCTGTGATGTCCCAAAGGTTTAACCCAGGGTGCTTGGCTTGCACTAAGGTCAAATCCAGAAAATTTAGGCATGGTGTGGTCACCTTGGGAAAGGCAGGTCAGGAAAGAACACCCTGAACACGAGCACTGAAAACAGCTTCAGATTTTTCTGTGTCAAAGCAGGAATTTTTAATTCTGTATCTAAATTCCTTGAAAGCTCAGGAAGTAAGTGCTAATTTCTTTCTCTCCTACTTTGAAAGAAAGCTGTAGCAGCTCTGAGCAACATCAGAAACCCATTAGGAATTAAAGAAATGGTAATTAATGGTATTTGCACATAGGGCAGTGACAACCCTCTCTCCATGGGGTACAAAATGCTCTGTCCTTTGTTTTATTAAGAATTTGTTGCCCATTTTTGCCCAGAGAAAGCTGTGGCTGCCTCATCCCTGGAAGTGTTCAAGGCTGTGTTGGATGGGGCTTGAAGCAACCTGGGATAATGGAATGAGTTCCTTTTACAGGGGTTGGAATAACATGCTCTCTTATGTCCCTTCCAACCTAAACCCTTCTGTAATTCGATTATTTAAGTGCTTCCTTTTGGTGTTATCCTTTGGTCTGTATTTTGTGATGCTTTTAAGTACTTACAAGATTATACAATAAAACTTCAAAGAGATAACAAATGTTTGTTCATTGTGCAAAATATTTTGAAAACTATGACTTTTTTTTTCCCATTTAACTCAACACTTCCAAAGGTATCTGAGTTTCCTGCTGAGTGGCGATGCAGATTGTGACAGGAGACTGATGCTGACAGTCCCTGCAGACACAGCTGAAAATCTGGCCTCTGTAAGGAGAAATGTCACTGTCATTCCATTCCTCGTGGCAATGAGGACAAAATCTGCCCACAAGAAGTTTTGGCAGGGAGCTGTGCATCTCTCCAGGTGCTCCTGGTGCTCGGATCCCTCCGGCAGGAGCTCGGGGCTGGATCCACAGCTGAGGAGCCCGCAGCAGCTCACGGTGAGCTCCAGTTCAGCATTCAGCCTCTGGCCCTGCAGGACCTACAGATGTGTTTAATTTCCTTCAGCACAGCTCCCCTTCAGCGCTCGCAGCCCTTCCATGGGGTGTGAGGGAGGCTGCACTGACTCCATCCCGGGCAGCCCGAGCTGGCAGGGAGCCAGCACTTGCTGCCTGCAGCCTCCCAGACAGAGATTTTCTTTTATTTCATTAGCAAAGCCCCTCAAAGCTGTTCTCTCCTGCCTATAGAAGCAGCCCCCTGCCTTTCACGCTTTATTTGGCGGCGCGAAGGGGCCAAGCCGTGCATGTGGAGGGGGAGGTGGGGGAATCCCATCCCTCTCCCTCTGTTCTCCCTCCCCTTCCTTATCCCTCCTGACGCCTGGGAGCTGAGATCTTGAATCCCGCCGAGGAGCGGAGGAGGCGCCAGGGCAGCTCCTCGCACGGCTTCCCGATGTAGCCGGAGCTGCGTGTCCCGGCTGGCTCCGACAGGTCTGTGCTCCTTCCCCTTGGGGCTGGGGTGCCAGGGATGCCGAGGAGGGGCTCTGCTGCTCTGGGACATGTGTGGCTACCCCAGAAAGGGCATTTCTGCAGGGTTTTGCTCTCCGGGAAGCTTGGAGCTGGTCATCGGGACATTCCCTGCCAGTCTAAAAACTGCCAGCACTGCCTTGGTGACTCTTCAGGGGCTGGGGCTGGGAGAAATGCACTTTGTTTCTTGCTTCGAATTTTTTTTTTTTCCTTCTGTTTTGTGGCTGATAATATAAAACTGCAGGGTATTGCTGCCGGAGAGTATTTGGAAGGGTTTGTGAGCTGTGTGGGTTTTCCCACCTGGAGCTGTGGGTGAGTTCAGCCTGATGGGCTGGGGGAGCTGCAAAAGCTCAGCCTAGAAGTGAAACTTTTTCCTGACTTTTTTTTTTTTTTTTAATGTTTCTGCTATGTTTGAGACCTTTTGTTCAACGGTGGAACTGAGATAGAGGAACTTTTCAGGAGAAAACAGAAAGGGGTAGATGAATTTGTGTTTTTTAGTCTGTTTTAGGTCCTTTAACCAGCAAAGCACTTGGGGAATGTGGGACAGATTTATTCCCTGCAGCTGGCTGCCTTGCTGGTCCCTGTCTCTTCTGCAGGGCTGTCCCTGTGCTGCTCATGTGTGAGTGGGACACGAGGTGACATTGCTCCTGCCAGCACTTCTGTGCAGAGGCAGTGATGAGTTCTGGCATCATGAAATGTCCCCAAACTGTGACTGTGGAAGATGGAAATAGTTCACACTGCCTCCAAATCCTCACCTTTAGTTGTGCTGATTTAAATATGTGGCAGGCATATTTTTTTCTTTAAGTAAAGAGACTACTTGTAAAATTTCCTGTACAAAAAAGGAGATCTCTGACTGCCTTAACCTCCAAATCTCCTCTGAGCACACGGCTGGAGCAAGTGGAAAGTGGTGTGTCCCCCACACACCCCTATTTTCCAGGCCCTGGAAATACTCACCACTTGCTCCATGTGCTGCTGTCTCCACATTCCTTCCCTGGGGGTGAGTAACAAGAGAGAGGCTCCGCCGTGCTGAGGGCTCCCTGCCTGCCTGCAGGCTGCTGTCACTGGGGTCCCCTCAGCCCCAGGGTCCACACTCAGCCTGGCTGGCTGGTGGCACCACTGATGGCAGAAGTGGATGGGGAGGGACCACAGAGTCCTGGGCTTGGGATGTGGGAGGTGAGGTGTGGAGAGGGAGCTCCTCCAGATGTGTGTCTTCCACCACTTCAGACAAGTGCACTTGTTATCCCTGATTTACAGGTAGGAAAATGAATGTTGGAGAAGAGGCAGAATGGTGATGGGTTTGCCTCTGAGATGGCAGAAGAGATGAAGACCCTGTTTCTGGCTTTAGTCACAGATCCCCACCCTGGGGTCTACCTGTGCCCAGTCTGGGTTAAAACCAGAATTAATGTGAGGGTGGGAGGCCCTGGCACAGGGTGCCCAGAGCAGCTGTGGCTGTCCCATCCCTGGCAGTGCCCAAGGCCAGGCTGGAAGGGGCTTGCAGCAGCCTGGGACAGTGGAAGGTGTCCCTGCCTGTGGCAGGAGGATGGAACACAACCTTGAAGGTCCCTTCCAACCCAAACCAGTCTGTGATTCCATAATATTGAACTCATCCTTACTGGCAGCACAGGGTGGAAGCTCCTGCCTGAATCAGAGCCTGGATCAGTGCAGGCTGGAGGAGTTCATTTTTCTGGATTTTGGATCCCATATAACCCTGGCTAACATGAAAAGATCACACTCTATCCAGTGCTTTTGCCAGAATTTGGCATCCTGTTTATCAGCAGAGCTGCACAGAAGTTTCAAGGACCTCAGGAGCAGTTTGGTGGCATTGCAAAATGGCCAAAATGAAATTTTAGTTCAAGGAATTTGAGAAATGCTTACTTATTGCTGCTGTTTGGCACACACACTTCTGCAGCCAGGGCAGGCTCTGCTTTCCTGGAGGTGACAGTCAGAGTCCTGAAACCCACCTATAAAATGTTTGATGTTTTTTTATAAACAATGACCTCATTTTATTAGCTGGAAAAATAAAGCAAGTGTTTCCCATGGCTAAAGGCTTCGGTTACACTGCAGTTGTTCCATTCATCTTCAATAATCACAGACAGAAAAGGGTGGTTAACAACTCCCTGTTACAACCTGCATGTTTTTCCATTCAATCTTCCAGCAATTGAGATCTGCTTTAAACAGATCATGCCTGGGTCACTCATGTGCATATTTATTTTTTCCTTGAAATCACTACAAAGCTGCTGTCTTTGAAGGGAAACAGGCATTTGCCAGGAGCCTCTACATACCTGTCCATCAAGGTGAATAGAAAAGGTGAATGGAAGTGAACTGTCACTGCAGGAGGTGCAGGGGCTGGTTCTGCCAGAAGCAGTGAGGCTGAAATGTGGAGCACGGAGATGACAGAAGGCCAACAATGTGTGCTTAAAACCTGGTTTGCTGAGACCCAGATGAGGTTGGCAGTGCTTCCATCAGGGTGGTTTTCTGCTGACCTGAAGTTCCTGACCCAAACTGAAATCCAGGCTGGCAAAGCAAAGCCCACTGCAGATGCCCAAGGTCCATGGGCTGAGGCTGGCAGTCAGCTGTGGCCATGCTGCAGAGGTCATTTCTGAGTCAAACTGATCCTCTGCCATGGTGAAGTCTGTCCTGCCTGCTTTCAGTCTGTTCAGCTGAATGAATTAAAGCAAAATTATCCCAGCAAGTCCTGGATATAACTTCTTGGGAATGAAAGAAGAAATAAACCCCTTCTTTGTAAACTGTTCACTGACAAACTCCACTGGGTCTGTGGATCCCTCCTGCTGCAAAATTGCTTTATCACAGCAACTGATGTCTTTAAATCTGTGGTTTGAGTATCCTGGCTGCCACAGAGTGCCCCTCTCCATGCTTTTCCCCTTATGACTGGTGTGTGCATCCCAGGGACACGAGAATCATGCTGTCTGTATACCTGTAATGATCGTGGTCACGATAATCAGAACTAATTACTTCTGTACAGTTAAACCAAAAGTCACTCTGGGATCTATCTGTCCAATCACTGGCCAGTGTTGATGACTTCCATGATCAGAGCAGAGCCCCATCACTGAGTTCCACCTCTGAGATTGTCCTGCCCAGAGAGCCCAGCCCCAGGCCCAGGCAGGAGGAGAGGAGTGTCCCCCACCAGGTTTATAAACACAGTTTAGTCCAAGGCACTGAACAGCTATATTGGAGAGACCAAAAAGATTAAATAGTGTGTAGGGATTGCAGGAAAACCTGTGTGTTCTTCTCCACCCACCCTTTCAGTGCCATCAGCGATGTCCAGAGCTTGTGGTGCCTTAAATGAGGACAGAAAAAAACCTGGATTTTGATGTGGTGAAATACAACTTCTACTTCTCTTTCCTGACATTTGTACTTTTGTAGGTCCTGGTCACAATGCTGATTCACATTTGGGTCTTTCTTGCCTGCCTGCCTGTGGTGAGCCATGTCTGGGGACGAGTGGGCCAAGGTAAGGAGCCTGCCTGCCCTTGTGGGGCTGTTCCCTAGGGTTTGTCTGTCCCCTGGGATACCCAGCCCTTCCCATTGGCAGTGGCACCACTGTGAGGGGCATTCCCAAAGCCAGGCAGGATTCCAGGGTGCTGCTCTGCTCTGGTGTCTGCTGGTGAAGCTCCAAACAGCCTTTCCCAAGCATGAAGAGATGAGGGGTCAGGGGCCCCATCTGGGGAGAGCCCCACGCTCCCTCCCCACCCCACCAGGCCTTTCCTCATCTCTGGCAGCAGTTCAGCCACTCCCTTGCATCAGGGATGCATTTCAGCCTGTGCAAGCAATGAGGGGCTTATGTGATCTGTGGGAGCCTGAGAAATAGGAAGGAATAGGCTGTTGCTTCTTTAGATACTGCACCTTCCTGCTTTGGGTGTTTGTGGTGAGATGTGGTGCAACATCTGTATCATCCTGTATCATCATACCTGATTCCTCCTGCATCATCCTGCTCCCCAGAGGGACCAGAAAATCCCTACAGCACCTCAGCACAGCCTTTCTGATGTGGAAGAACCATGTTTTTGTTATGTCTGAGCGCTCTATCGAAGAGCACAAAGGTTTCTAGTGAGGTGGTGGCCCTGCAGGGCTGGGACAGATGTGTCTCCCTGCTGTGTATCTTCCAGACTTGTACAGTTAA